CTGAAGAAGAGGGGTCAAAACTGCAAATATTGACTTGCTGCATTATCTCATTCGAACAGTCATTTACAGCTTTTGTTACTCATAATATGATTGCAATTGTATTTCTGTATGTGATGACAACATCTGACATACACACATGAAAACCAGAGGGCAGCAGATCATGTGAAACTATAATATTTGTATCATTCTCAATACTTTGGGCCATGACTGTAGATCTCACATTTTAAGATAATTTTTTTCTCCTTTTAGACTTTTCTGGCCAGCCATGCTGTGGTTTATTTTGATGCGTGAATATCATGTTTTTCTTGAATGATGGCGACTTCTTCTTGTACCTCTGTTTGAAGAAGGTGTCTTCCAGAAACTGGCAGTAGGTGTGGGAGTTGATCTTGACTCCATCATTAACCCGAAAAGGTCCCACAAGCTCATCTTTGATGATACCAGCCCATACCAGTGCCCCACCTCCACCTTGCTGGCGTCTAAGCTGAAAAGGAATGTCGCAAATGTTTATTTCTGAATTTTGAGTTTTTTACATGGTGAAAATAATCAAGTGAGATGGGTATATATATTTGTTTTTTATTGCGTTGCCTAATAATTTTGCACCGTAATATTTACCTGCACACACAGACATCCTCATAAAAAAAATAAAAATAAAAAAATCAACTTCCAAAAATATGAAACTTTGATATTAAGGAGTCTTTTGGGTCAATTGAGGACATAATTGTGGCCCAATAATATAAATAATCCTCAAAAATACAACTTGTCCAATTATCCTGCACACAGTGTATATACACACATGTATATATATATATATATATATACACACACACACACACACATACATACATATATATATATATAAAAAGAGAGAGACAGACAGACATCAAGAAAACCAAAGAGATAATTTTTGACTTCGGGAAGCAATGTCCTCATATTTGCTAACCTCACTAGGACAGATAATAACGCAGTAGTAATCAATAACGCTTAATAGTTACCGGAGAGTCCTAAGGAAGCACAACCTGGGGTCCCTTTCACAAAACAGGTTTAACAAACTGAAATCCTCAAATTGATCAACTCTAAGGTTGAAAAACTTAGGTTTGGTTTCATAAAAGCTACTTTGAAATATTTAATCAACTTTGAGTAGGTCCACGTGCGAAACAGATATGAAAAGCCATTATCAGTGGAGCCCAGATTCGACGAGCAACTATGACAACAAGCAACAGGAAGTGCCAATTTCACCCCATGTGTTTAAAGGACAGAGGTCTTTCCTCATTTCACAAGAGTGTGAGTAGGGACTCATGTTCTCACCAACTACTACTTGACAAGAACACAGCAGAGGCGTAGCCAGAAATTTTTTATAAGGGTGGCAAGGCAATTACCAACATACACTGAGGGGTGGCCGCAAGGGAACCTCAGGGTCAATCTACACTGTTCCTACAGGCAAATTAACAAGCAAAACATCCATATGTTCTAAATAAAGACAAACTATACTTTCCTAAAGCCTTTGTTTACAAATAGACGCATATATTTAAACATTCGTAATTTCTAGATAAAAGGTATAGTGGATCAAACTTTCAGTTTTTAGTTCTGGGGCATAAATCTTTTCCATTATCATTACTTACCTACTTGTGTCATACATTTTGCATAAAATGAATATTTACAAGCACTAATATGTACATAAATTGATTATTTGATAAGTCTTTATTAAAATCGTTATTTATCTTTGATTTCACTGAAAAGACTCCTGGGTGACTTGTAGAGACACATAATTTTCTCTTTACCCTAAATGACACAAAGTAGTCCTGAAAAGAGCATGAATTCTGTACTTATCTTTGATGTTAGTATATTATTGTGTATAAGTAACCACATAAAATAAAATGTTTTGAATATTCCACTTGAGAATATTACTGCTGCCACCATCTGTATTAGAGCGAAAAAACTGGTAGCGGTGGCCAATAATTGGCTAAGGAATTGGCAAAGGGTGGCCATGGCCAACCCTGGCCCCCCATATGGCTCCGCCCCTGGAACACAGGAAAATATGGACTCTGGGAAAATGGAAGGACGCAGAATAAATCTGGGTTAATTGGAACAGAAGAGTACTTGTGATATCACCACATTCAAAGCAAGTCTGGAGCTGAATTTCAACTTAGTAATAGTATGTATATAATGATAAATCAAATTAATCAAAAACAACAAAATAAATAAATAAACCATACGAGCCAAAAGTACTTCACTCATGGCTATGTCAAGAGAGGGCTTCTGCAGACGGGTTGACTTTAGCTCTGGCTGCGGTTAGCCTCAGAGCTCCGTTGGTTGCCACGGTCCTCAACATAGGAAATTTTTTAAAATTATGCATTAAATCAGTAAATTATCCATATAGTGACACTTAAGTATAATAATCTTGCAACAAATGATCTTAAGATGTACTTTTGTAGAACAATGTCAACAGAAAAGTGAAGTTTTAACTAAAAGCTCTGGTGATATGTTTACAGAGGTTTAGATGAAGAGAGGCACAGGATCTAAATAGTCTGACATCCACTGTGAGGTCCACAATCAGAGCCATCTACCTGCAAACTTTAATGCACTATAAAGCCTTCTTCGTCCAAGCTTTGTTAAAATGCAGATTTATTTTTCAATCAGGGATCTACAACTGCCAAAGCTACCAAACGCTGGTTGAATGGCCATGGTGTCATTGTGTATTGGTTGAAATTGAGGGAATCTACACTCACCGGCCACTTTATTAGGTACACCTGTCCAACTGCTCGTTAACACTTAATTTCTAAGCAGCCAATCACATGGCGGCAACTTAGTGCATTTAAGCATGTAGACATGGTCAAGACAATCTCCTGCAGTTCAAACCGAGCATCAGTATGGGGAAGAAAGGTGATTTGAGTGACTTTGAACGTGGCATGATTGTTGGTGCCAGAAGGGCTGGTCAGAGGAGAATGGCCAGACTGGTTCGAGCTGATAGAAGGGCAACAGTGACTCAAATAACCACTCGTTACAACCAAGGTGGGCAGAAGAGCATCTCTGAACGCACAGTACCTCGAACTTTGAGGCAGATGGGCTACAGCAGCAGAAGACCACACCGGGTGCCACTCCTTTCAGCTAAGAACAGGAAACTGAGGCTACAATTTGCACAAGCTCATCGAAATTGGACAATAGAAGATTGGAAAAACGTTGCCTGGTCTGATGAGTCTCGATTTCTGCTGCGACATTTGGATGGTAGGGTCAGAATTTGGCGTCTACAACATGAAAGCATGGATCCATCCTGCCTTGTATCAACGGTTCAGGCTGGTGGTGGTGGTGTCATGGTGTGGGGAATATTTTCTTGGCACTCTTTGGGCCCCTTGGTACCAATTGAGCATCGTTGCAACGCCACAGCCTACCTGAGTATTGTTGCTGACCATGTCCATCCCTTTATGACCACAATGTACCCAACTTCTGATGGCTACTTTCAGCAGGATAATGCACCATGTCATAAAGCTGGAATCATCTCAGACTGGTTTCTTGAACATGACAATGAGTTCACTGTACTCAAATGCCCTCCACAGTCACCAGATCTCAAACCAATAGAGCATCTTTGGGATGTGGTGGAACGGGAGATTCACATCATGGATGTGCAGCCGACAAATCTGCGGCAACTGTGTGATGCCATCATGTCAATATGGACCAAACTCCCTGAGGAATGCTTCCAGCACCTTGTTGAATCTATGCCACGAAGAACTGAGGCAGTTCTGAAGGCAAAAGGGGGTCCAACCCGTTACTAGAATGGGGTACCTAATAAAGTGGCCGGTGAGTGTATGGAGTACCATCAACAGGACGATGACAGACACAAACACAATAATGCAAATGAGCTGAAATGCTGCAATCAAAGGAACCTGGCCTTCCCTCACACTGTAGCAGAACCAAAGGTCTTTATGTTACTGCACAGTAATTCATGCAAAAGTAAACTTTACCAAGGCTCCAAGTTGGGTAGTTTGTAGAACTGTTGCCTTGCAACAAGTTGGCCCTAGATTCATAGCTCTGGGCCACATTGTATGTGTTCCAGGGTTCCTGGAACACATACAACCAAACAGGCATGTGAAAAACATGCCTGTTTGGTTGACTGGGGATAAATTGCTACTAGATGTGTCTCTGCTATATAAATTGCTATTAGATGTGTCTTTGTGCTGCCCTGTGATGGCTGCACATGCCAGAAAAGCAGTTATTGAAGATGGATGAAAATGAACATCTTTTGAGTAGAACATGCTGAAAAAAATATATTGTTCTTTAATGTAGACATTAAAGTGGCTGCCCAACTGGTCTATTTATCAATCTCCATACCATTCTCCCCTCACTCCTGAAAAGGATCCCAAGGCACTTACTCCTCCACATGAGGTAGGAGCTCTCCTCTGAGCTGAAGAGGAGAAGCCACCTTTTTACAGTTGAGATTCAACGCCTGTGACCTAGAGGAGCTGATTTGATCCTGGCCGCTTCACACTCTGCTGGAAACCACCTCAGTGCATGCTCTAGGTCTTGGTGGGAGGGAGCCAGCAGAACCATGTCATCTGCAAAAAGCAGGGATGAGATCCTGGTTCTCCAAAACAAGACCCCCTCCAGCCAATCAGTGACCTTTCCCCTGCTCCGAGGTGTAGAGAGAGAATATATATATTTATATAGCTAGTAAACATGATATCTGGTATAAAACCTACACTGACGCTGATGTACTTCCATTATAAGTAACTCTCAACCTTCAGACCATCTCTAAGTAAAATATTCACTTCTGTCGATTAAAAGAAATAAAGAGAATCAGATTTTTCTTGCATAACATTCACATTTATTTGGTTTCAAGTTCTAACACATTCTAAACATGCTTTAAACACATAATGGATCACATTCTTCACAGGTAGTTACAGTAACAAGATCAGACAAGAGATTTATTAAGAAAACTGACATTTTAATGAATCAATTCAATGGTGTAGATGTATTTAATCCCTGAGATATGTCACCATTTCATTTAAGCTTGCATCCTCCTTTCAATTTGTGCTCCAGTACAAAGGCTATAGAGGGGCCATGGCACATACAGGCATGCTTTTAATACGTTTCCTTTCGTTACTGCCTAGATTTCAAGAGTTCCCCAATTCATTAAAAATTTTAACATAACATGTGACAAACTTTAAGGAATTATTTTTCTTAAAAGAAACATGAATCAAGTATCACATTGGACTACTTGGTGCTTTAAAAGTAGGATATCTGCGGAGTGGATCAGTTAAAAAAAATGGCCAAAGCGGTAACAGCAGCAGCGGATGTTATGACACCACGCTGCTGGGTGTTGTCACCATCTGCATCATCACAACGTATGTGAGCGAATCTGTGCTCACGTGCCACCGCACCAGGGTCACAACAGCATGTGAGCACGTTAACACAAGAAGATGTCAGTTTGACCATAGCTCCATTCTTTAATTGATAATTGATCACAAGCAGCATTGACAGAGCCAGATATGATAACGCTCCACGTTACCTTGAAGGAACAATAATCAGGGAACACAATGGGATAAAAAAAAAATAAACTTACACACACACAAACGCATTAGGGCGTATCATGATGTGGAGAATACAGCGAGCACTGCCATTCACATGATAACATTCTGATAAGGTCGGTGCAGAAACGTAAAGCAGAGCTCAGCTGCAGCAACAATGCAATGTGCATCATTGACATTCTTTCATCTTAGTACTGGAATCGTAACAAGAAGGCAAGATTGGAAACATGGAATTGATGCTAATTTTACTAGTATAAAGTAAAAAATGAAAAAAGTTAAAGTTTAAGTAGGTACTCTGAGATGTTTTTAAGGTAAAAGCTGCCAAATGTCAAAAGCAGTGTTGAGGTAGGAAGTAAAACTAGGCAAACTGTGTAGTTTTGTCTGAGAGCACCACTGAATGTAAAAAAAAAACCCAACACATAATGCACTAAAAGCAATAAATAAGAAAAAAAAAACAGAAACACAATGACAACTTTAAGAGGTAGTTTAACACAGAGATTACAGATGAACTCTCCCTTGTCTGCACGCTAAAAATCACAAATACAGGAAACTAAAGACTTTGTCCAACACAAGCAGGAGGTCAAGCAGTCTACATTCGACACACCGACACGCTGGCGACAAGAGGTCAGTGACAGTAAGCGTGTTTGTGTTGCAGCCTGATGAGTATAATATCAGACAATTTTCCCTTTAGAAATCCCATCCTAACGGGCAGATTTGAGCTGGTTTATCCCTGAGATCATGAACACCTAAAGGCCTCAGAGAGCCCTGCAGATCAACAGACAACGTGAAAGAATTGGATTTTCTGTGGACGTTTGAAAAATCAGCAGCAGGACTGTTCACATGATTTATTGATTAAATGTTTAAAAACAAAACCTTACGTCTTTACAGGAAAACTCTTTAACCATTAAAAGCTCCTTTAGCTCAGGACCGTTCCTGCCGTAGTTCATATCCGCCCACTGTTGTTAAGTATCGAAGGAATTAAGGGAAAAATGTCTGATCTAAAAATGTTTTTTTCAGCTTCTGATTATGATGAGGTTTTATTTTGACCCATTACCAACAACTGGGGGTGGGGGGGGTAACAGAAGAAAAGAAAAACCCTGAAAATATTCAAAATAACTACAGAGGCACAGTAAAATGCATTTTCAAATTTTAAATTTGGAAAGAGGTAGTCGGAAGCTGCTGAAGGGGGGGCAGGTGGTGTTAGTCACAGAAACTCACAGAAAGGTGAAAACTGGTGAAAAAGAGGCCGTGATGTTTTTTTTTTTTCCCAGGATGCCGCTGCCTCACGTGCCATCCATCACCAAATCACCCCTCCCCCTCTTCCCCATGCATTCCTCACCTTCAGACTACATCCACTTTCCCTGAACAAAGGGGAGCCGGGTGGGGACCTTGAGTGAAATAATGACAAAAAGGGAGGAAAAAAAGCAATTTTCTACAAGAGGACCTACGATGTCCCCGAACCTAAATCTACTAACACTACAGGTACATCAGCACGGTCACTGAGGAACTCCTGAATGCAACATATAACACTCACTTTACCCTGTTTAAATCCAGGTCTGCGGGGACCTGCCAGAGAGGAACACACTGGGAGGGCAGCAGCCATGGTCAAGCGTCCAGGTCTCTGAACCTCATTGGTGTGTGCAAAAAAAAAAAAAAAAATGAAAGATAAAGAAATTTGTTGCAAGAACAGCATCTTTCCTGCGTTTTAATTGTTCTCATATTCTGAGACAGCTAAAAGCTCAAAGAACACATCAGGAATATTTAAGCAAGTCTGAAATGATCATCTCATATTCAAAAAATAAGGACCATTTTTTATGGCTATTCTTTTTAAAATAATGTGCATATCTGTCACAGAGAGTCGTCCAGACACAGGCCACCAAAATTCCACACTTTAGCCTTGATTTTTTTATAGGACGTGGACCATAATCACACTGAATACACTCTGAGCTCTGTTAAATGATAATATCCTATAATCCATTAATCTAACTGGAGTCATTTGACTTAAAACTACAAGATGTAGATCAGAAACGGTTGACATCATCGGAACAAACAAACTCCCTGCTTTAGTTGGCCTTTTAGCTAAAGAATTAAAAAGTCTTTCTCCAACTTTAAATTCCTAAACATCTGCCTCCTTTTGAAAGTCCTAATAGCTACAGGAATGGAGAAAGTTTTGATTGCACATTTGTTGCCTGTTTAATCAGTTCTGTACAGGCTCTGGTTGTAGAACCTGCTGTTTGAATAGATTGGTAATTAAATATAAAATACAATAAGACACATGAATGATGTTTATCCGAAATGTTCGGGGAAAGAAAAAGAGAATCCAACCAGTTTTAAAACGTATTAAAAAAAGCTATTTCGCTCAATCAGATCTTGAAGACTACAGAGCCCAGAGGCCCACGCCTACTTTAGGCACGTCTGTGCGAACACAAAGCGTGCGTCTGATTAGCAGCATTAAAGTGGAATTTTGGTGACCTACATTCATGTCCAGCTGAAAGTCTCCTCTGTTAAATATTGATTAGTTTCTTATCCTGATCCTTCATTGATAAGAAAGTTCTCCTTTACATATATTTATTCTTTGTTGAGCTGTCAGCTCCCTACCCATTAGTGGGTGTTTGAAGAAAGAATTGCATAACATTTTGGTCTAGAATTGAAAAGAAACAAAAACAGCAAACCTAGTTACCCTCCCCTTCCCCTGCATAAAGCATTACATCCCTAGTCTATGATTGTTAAAAAATACCCGTATGCTCCTTCTACAGTGATCCCACAGATCCACCAACGCCCAACTTAACTTATGGAATGTTAAATGGACAGGACTGCCTCCGATATACAGCATATCGGAGAGCGTCCATGTATGTAAAGTAGCTCACATTCTGCTTAAGGATTCTTTGCATTTTCAGTGCAATAAAAACACTGATGTTTTCCCAACTCTGATTTCTGCAGCTCATTTCAACATTCAGTCCCTGATCGAGATGTCAAAGCATCCACAGGTTTGATTTTCGACCGGGCAACTCTTCATTTTAAAGCAAGAAAAGGTACCTGAAAATAGCAACAACATCTTCCTGAGGTAGTCACAAATCACAAATGTGTCTTGCTGCCTTGTCTGATTAAAATAAGCTATTTTAAAATCTAGTCTAACAATGGCAACGCCGACACATTGAGCAAACTGGATATACACTTGTAAACTCCAAAGACCAATGCATCTTTGAGCATTTGTTTTGTACAGAAGATGTGCACAGTGTAAATCAGCATACATTCAGCTCTGTCGTGTAATAAATATATAAAGAAAAATATTACAAGAAAAAAAGAACTAGCTGCTTGTCACATTCACAGGAGGGGAGACCGGTCCCTAGGCTCGCGCGGTCCAGATAGGTTAGTTTCCAGAGGACACAGTCACGCAGGGCGACGAGCCGGTCCTGTAACTTGTCAGGCTGGATTTGCAGGAGTGCAAGACTGCTTTAAACAGGAGCGGGAGCTGCTCCAGGGGGACGTTCACCAGCTTCCCTGTTAGGAACACAAAACACAGGTTGGCTCCAACTGATAGAACAATGCATTCGGATTCTTTTTGTGAGGATGTTTTAATTTATCTTCTGAAGAACAAAAATAAGACATGCACCCTCCCTTAGATGATGTCTTATTAGTGGAAACTAAAAGAGAACACATGGCTCTTAAGTGAGACATTAATTTAACCCTTTAAAGGGCACTCAGAGAAATACTTTGAAATCTGAATTTTAACCCTTTAGTGTTATTGGAATCAAGGAAAAGAACTTGTTAAGTTTGTAACATTAAAAAATATGGATATTTTGATGGCAAAATAAATGTCAAAAAATGCCAACTTACCCGAATATATAAAAAAAAAATAACAAAAGTGCTTTTATAAGAAATTCAAGAAAAACACTCGAAGTAAAAGAAACACATTTTTTTTTGGTACAAAAAAACCTTAGAGGCATTAATGCTGATACTGACACATTTTTTTAGTTTATAAACCTAAATATAATTATTAACTAGTCCTATTAACTTTTTAACTTTTATTTTTAACTTTTCAATTACCTTTTTACCTTTTTTCTTGACTTGTTAACTTTTTTCCCCAACTTAATTTACAGTAGGTAATGTA